TTAAATACGATACTGGTGAGGCTGACAGGTGTGTAGTTAGATGGAAGTTGTTTTAATTAATTGGGGTGATAATTGCATCCTTCTAGTCCATAGGTAACTCATATCGACCAGTCCGCAGTGAGTAGCCGGTTTTGCGACTTTGTATTAGGGTCTAGTCCTTCATCTAGAAGCGGCTCTAAAGTGAGAACCGTTCCGAAATAGTTCACCATGGCTTCTGCTTTGTCTTGGTTTTCTATCATTTGAGATACACTCCTGTAATTAAGTTGGGAATCCAGTGGCTCTTTCGTGTTCATGTGCGAAGAATGTCTCTTCGGTTGCCTAACCACAGATTTTGAGAACTACTTTTCATATTTTCAACGAGCTGCTCGGGTTGTGCTTATACAATTGTTGCAGACCGACCTGTAGCGTTATATTCTATTTGTTATGCCAGGGTTGATGGTGACATCCCAAAATTTTTCCTTTTGTCTTAGTAAACGTCGAATCTTCCGGTTTATCCAGGAATGACCGTGATTTGTATCCTTTTGGACTGTGCAAGATATATATGGTTGGATTACTTGATTATATAACTGCGGGAAATGAGTTCATGTCTTTTTTACTGATACACCAGAGTCAATTTTCTAGTTTTCAGTGGAGGCTGGAGAATTAGGCACCTTTACATATGCCCTCCATATGTTAGGACGAGCCGGCGTATCTGCCTGGAAGACCACATCAACCATGAACGTGAATATGATGACCGCATGGTCACTTCTCCTTAGAGGTGAAAGAAACTTTATTTCACTGATATCATCACCGTACACGAAGACTAAGTCCGAAACAAATATGGAGTTTCGTATGTCATATCTGGTGAAATCTCTAATGTTCTGGAATAAAGTTAGGGAGATTGTGGTTTCTAACAATTTTTAATCAAATGATTCTTTTGATGATTTTTTAAGTTTTTCCAATTTAAGGAGAGTCCATTAAAGTCACCTACTATAAGGCTTTTACACCTGTTTGACCAGAATTTAAGTTTATTTAGGAAGGAGTCATCCAATACCCATTATGGACTACGGTATACTGCAAATAATTCAATTTCCTGCCCATTGCACTTCCTAGGGGCCACTGTAAGGCATTCATTGAGTTTATTTCGTTTCTTAATCAAACCTACAACGTTCAGGCTTCGCTCTTAAATAATCTTTTTCTACGTTGATACAGGATTCTGTAACTGAAACTGTTGACTCACATATTTTAGAGCTTTTTGGGGAGATTCAGAAAACTCGAAAAAAAAACCAAAAAGGCTCTGAAAACGCTGAAAAGCATCTTATCCAGTCAGCATTCAATAGTTTTGCCAGAAACATCTAGAAAGTGAAAAGTCACATGTTACGTTTCAGATTGGAAGTTTACCTATACTGCTACTATGTTTAGTAGCGTTCCAGAATTTTCCGGAATTTCAATGCCATCTAAAATACCATAAAACCCTAGATTTTCTGCACATGAAGGAACCTTGGAGTGAACTGTTTCTTCTATAATTCGCGCCTTTTCTCTCGTGTTCAAGTCTCTGTGTAAATTTAGCCTGGGGGTTTCTAGAAGAGCTTAAAAATGCGAATCTAACGTTCAGTTAGGAAACTTATCAAGAGCCTTCTGTAGTTTGCTTTTATTTTTCCTTGTGGCCTTGTCTACATCTATATCATTTACTACGTTATGGTGGTCCACCTTAGTGGTTTTGCTCAGATCTGAAGTTGGGCTCATGACGATGCTCATTCCTTTCTCGAGATCTGGAAGCTACCCATCTACTTCTGACTGTCTATATAAGGACAGCTTTCTAGATGTGTTTAGCATCTCAAGAACCTGCAGAGACTTTGCGGAGCAGCATGCTTTCAACAGCCAACGTGAATATGTCTTGCAATATTTCTTACATGTAGCCGGTATGAGTCCTCTGCATACTTTATGATACTACTTACTGCACTTAATATACCCTGCGAGGGTAGTCAATATTGGTCCTTATACATGGTTTCAAGTGTTTGGATTATAAATATTTTCTTTATATCTCTAGAAACGTTTCTTAAATAGTAATAAACTCGTGAGTGCTGTTAGCTATACAGAAGGCTGAAACGAATATGGAAGGATCATAATGTATTATAGTTGAAAGCTGACCTAATAAACTTCCAACCAGAAAACTAAAGTGATACATTTCTCAACAGTGAACATCAATAAAAGAGAATCAAGTTAACACATCAGAAACACAACTAAGTCTACTTATTTCCTACTGTAATATGGTTTTACAAGTATTTCATATATATGTATATTACTGTTCAGTTTAAATAACAGAATTGTATAAGACATTGAATTGGAATAATATATTTGTAAAATCTCAGCGAATAAATTTGAAGTAAATCCAACGTTTCGCCTGGTAATCTGGTCTAACCTTTTTCAAGGAATTATAATCAAACACCAAAATTATCGAATATAAATAGGTATATGGTTCTTCGTTTCATTGTACACTGACCGATCGTTGCTGCTACCTTGACGTTGTGGTCGGGCTTGCCTATCGTGATGAAGCAATCGAGCTATACTGGCTGGAACATTCGTTCCTCGAGGTCCTACCATGCCAGACAGGTCGGTTAAAGAGCGGTAAGACTAAAAGCAGCAATCCCAAGGTCCGAAGGCGAAGTCGTACTGCCGACTGCACAGAGGTGTGACGGCAGTAAGGTGTTTCCTTCAGACAACCAGCATGACAGCGATGCTGCCTTCCCACAAGGAGGGGTGGGGTTAGAAAAGGTCGACCCTAAAAATGCACACCTCACCTTATCCCACGGATTTCCGTCTCCGTCCTTTGAAGAACGGAGCTAACACTTCAAAAATCCCCCACAAAAAGGCCGTGCGTGACCGGCCTCAAGCAGTTGTCCCTTGGGCACTGCGTCACGTTCCCAGATCGTTCAGACCAACACTAATCCAACTTCTTTTTCAGGTCCCTCAAGAAATACCCTTCCACGGTGTGGGCAGCCGGGAAGTGATAAGTGCCCTCATACCCGTAACAGCACACGTACACTGAATAGGTCATCCAATCAACGTTAAAAATGTCTAAACTAGGTATATGTGTTAGTGTGTAAGAGATTTGTGATGTAAAATGGTCAGTGTTAATATAACATATTGTATATAAACGTAAGTGGTGAGAGGAGAGATTTCATTCACAATATATTGTCTCTGGTCGGTGAATTTTTTCAGGAGACATACAATTTTTAATATATGATATGAACCATATATGTCACAGCATGTATAGAATGGATATAAATAAACAAAATAAAAATAAGTGTGGCGCATATGTATCTGGTGCCCCTTTGTACCAATATGTATGTGTTTAAATAAATAAATAAAAATAGTGAAATTGGAAGAGGAAGAATGTAATTTAAAACTGAATATATATGTTATTTTAATGTTCCAATTAATTGTTTAATGAATTTCGATAAGACAACTGATTAGAATCATTAAATGTAATTGTCACTCAGATAATACTTGATAGATAAAATGAAAAGCAGTTCAGGTTTTTATTTATTAATGATTAGCTGCCATGGTGCAGCTAATTGTATTTCATCTCTCCTATTAATATTGTTTGGATTAGCCCATATGTATAGGGCTTCGGCTGTTTGTCTTTCTTTTTAAGAATTGAATGCTTTTTGAAGGATTATTGTGCCATCGAAATCAATTGTATGACCCGATTCTATCGAGTGTAATGCTATCGCTGACTTGTTCTCAAGTTTCCTTACATCATCTGAGGACTTAGGAATGTGCTTTAAGCATTGTTTGTGTTCCCTCACCCTCACACTCAGTTGCCTTGATGTTTCACCTACATACGTTACATTACAGTCACTACATCTGATTTCATAAACGGAACTCCGTTGCCCTTCTTTGTGTATTGGACCTTTAGTTCTTACTAGTTTTGATCTTAGGGTATTGTTTATTCGAAAAAATACTCATATGTTCTTGATATTTAGGATTCTTCTAATGTCTTCTGAAATACCTTTCCGATATGGGATCACCACTGTGTTAACCCATTCCTTTTTCTTTAATCTTTTTTTATTATTGATGCGGTTTTTTTCATTGTTAATTATTCTTTTAACAAAATACTTCAGATAATCGTTCATCATTACAGTAGATGTAATTAAATTCATTTCCATTTCCATATCGCTTGGTTCAGTGACAAGTTTTTGAGCTCTTGTGATCATATTTTTGGCCACTGTCTCTTTGGTCGAGTGTGGATGTGCCGACTTAAAATCTAGAAATTTCCCTTAATGTGTCGGCTTTAATATTAATTTTTAAACTATCATGATCTTTCCCTTCAACCAAACAGTCTAGAAAATGTAGTTTGTGTTCAGGAGATTCCAACTCCTTGGTGAACGTGGTTTTTTCATCAAAGTTGTTGACAAGTTTAAAAAGTTCGTCCAAAACGATCCCGTTTTATAATAACAAAAGTGTCATCAACATATCTTAACCGAACTTTTGGTGTATGAGAACACGTTGAGATTGCACTAGTTTCCAATGAATGCATGAATAGGTTAGCAACAATTGATGAAACCGGTGATCCCATAGCTACACCTGTTTGTCTGTATAAACCTCCTCGAAAACTGAATACAGTTGAATGTAAACATAGATCTAGCGCTTTAATAATATCCGAGGTGACTAGAGGACAGCGTTGTTTAATTTCAATGTCAGAATCTAAGAGATTACATATAATATCTAAAGCTTTCTTAATTGGAACATTAGTGAATAATGAGCATACATCAAAACTTGCCATTATTTCATCTTCTATGTGAATATCAGAAATAACATCTTTGAAATCATTAGGATTTTTTATTCCGTATTTGAATATGCTTTCATATGGTTTAAGAATTTTAGCTAGGTATCTGGAAAGATTGTAGATTGGTGAATTGTATAGCCAACAACAGGTCTTATTGGGACATCTGTTTTATGTATTTTTGGTAGTCCATAAAATCTACATGGTTTGTTGCTTTTTGGATATAGAGAAAGCCATAGAGATGATCCTAGTTTGGATTCTAAAGTCTGTGGCATTTTGGCTGTTTCGGCTTTCAGCTTATTCAAATTTACTGTACATTTGTTATTCTTGATTTTTTAATAAGGTCCAGTGTGGAGATGTTCATTGACCTTTTTCTCATAATCAGAATTATTCATAACAACAGTGATGTTTCCCTTGTCAGCTCTCATAATAACAATTTTTCTGTCTTTACGTAGCTGTTTTAGAGCATACATTTCTTCTTTAAATAGATTATGTGTATTCGGTTTTTGTTTCAACAAAGCATTTGAGATTCTAAATCTCACTGAATTCGCTTGATCAGTTGGAACATTGTTTAAGGCAGGTTCAATAATCGGAATAATTTCAGAGGCCATAAGTTGTGTTTTGCTCAAATTGAAATTGAGACCTTTCTCAAGCAATGATAGTTCGTGTTGATTTAAATGTTTGTCAGATAGATTCACAACAATTTTGTTTATATCTAGTTCCTTGGAATTGTTTCTAATCGCGTAATTATTGAATTTTGATGGATGTTTAAACAATTTTTCGAATTTTCTTATTTGACTTTTTTTTGTAATTTGATCATAAAAGTTTTCTTCATGTTCGAAAAATTCAACAACATTTGTTTTTATTTCTGTTGGTATAATTAAAGATAAAACACTATCAATGTTTGCTATACGTGAACGCAATGATTCCAAGTTTTTAGTGGATTTATGAATACATTCTCTAAGAAATACTCTTGTAGCTGTAACAGCTGCTTTTTGTGATCGTGGTGAATTGTCTGGAGTCTTGACTGGTAACGTTCTCGGATAAACATGATGGTTTAAACAGCGTAGATTGAAAATTCGGTGGTTATACCAGTTGCACATTTTCTTCGATAATTTAATGCGATTGCAGAATTGTATAAGTATTATCGATTAAACACTAGTTAAAGTGACGAGTAATTATTCATTGTCTTTATAACATCAACGAGACTAACCTATAGGTTGGTTCATGACTGAACAGTGCTGTAACAATAGCTTCGATCAAAAAACGGTAACTATTTCGTACTCACCATAAGTAACCACTTACTTACTAACATCTTTTACCCCTCGTGGAGGAGCATAGGCCGCCCACCAACATGTAAACATAAACATATACGCATATATATGTATGCGTCTATTCTTTTCTCCAAGAAGTGATGTAATCATTAGTTTCATTAATATCGTGCTATCTGTATTTACATTCAGTTTTCTGGTTTCATGTACAATCAGGTTTTAAAAAGTTATGGTCTGAATCTGTTTGCGTATTTTCGCTCATCTTTCGGCTCCCTGTATCTGAGAATATTCTTACGAATCGAAATAACAGTCTCTTTTTTTAGAGAAGTATCAATAATTTGCTTGCTGACTAGTCGGACTAGTCTGTCAACGTAAATATCCACCAATTCTTTCTTGTTTGTTTTTGTCGTTTTTTTTATCTGTAACTTGGATTATCAATCAAGATGTTCATCAAGGAATAAGTCACATTAAAAAAATGTATATACATTAATACATAACATAAATACTTAGAGAAACATGAAATTTCAATGAGATGAGATTTTTGTTATTTAGGGGAAGGGGATAGAGAGGGCGCATCACTCATATATCAGGATTATAAAAATGTATTTCACATTTGATCCAAGGTGAAGTGGGTAGGCAAAATGACTGTAAACTCTAATTACGTTCTTTCAAGAACAACTAAATGTGGTGTTCATTAAAACGTGTAAACTAATATTGGTAATAGTAATATGTCGGTTTACTTCCAGACACACTAACAGATACAAATTAAGACATTTCAAGTATTTTGAAAATAGGAAATATATTTTTGCCTTCATTCTTTGATCCTTACTCTATGTTTATATCAAGTCATCAGCATAAACAACACATTTATCCTCATCCAATTCATGATCGTATTGTCCAGTTGATCCCATATTATCTAGATGTTCATTATAATATACTAATTGATTGAATTAAATATGACCACAGTGATATTTCATATGTTATATTACCTTTTATTTGTTTACAATAATAGGCAGTCAATTGGATTGTCATTACCATTATCATTGTTTATGAGTCTAAGCAATATTCACGTGTATTACATATAGAACTATCCAAACTACGAAATTTTGAAAACTGGACAAATATATTATGCTAACGATTCTTTTAATTATCGTTTTACATTGTTATTACAATTATTATTTACTTACGCCTGTTGCGCCTCCTGGAATAGCATAGGCCGCCCACCGATATTCTCCACCCAACTCTATTCTGGGAAATCCTTTCCAGTTGCTATCAATCCTTTTGGTATCTGCTTTCAATTCTCGGAGCAGTGTGTTCTTTAGACCTCCTCTTTTCTGCTTCCCTTCAGGATTCCAATTTAACACTTGCCTCGTGATAGTCTGATGATTTCCCTAATGTATGTCCTATCCACTTCCAACATCTTTTCCCAATTTCCTCTTCAGTTGGAAGTTGATTTGTTCTCTCCCACAGCAGGCTGTTCCTCATGTCATCCAACCAACTGATACTGAATATCTTGCGTAGACACTCGTTGAACTGTCAGAGTGTTAGTTACCATATCTCTATTGCTCATAAGTGCTTAGTTTATATAAAACAAGTCTTGGTGTCTCAAAACTAGTTTTTTTCGGTCAGGTTGTCTTGTATAAATGTCTTCAGATTACGTGTAACCAAGGGTAAAATTTACATTTTATCATATCTTGTAAGCAATCGCGCAAAAGTTCTGAACGTCTAAGGAACCAGATAAATTCAAAAGAATTATAATTTCTAAATAAATCAATGAAAGTAAAAAAAGTCTTGCATGTAATGATAACCAGATATCCATGAGCTGTTGAATCTGCATTAGTGATTGATATTTCTCACTTCTTTGTAACGATGATATTACTTTAAATATATACGTATGTCAGATAATTTTATGCCAATGCAGCTAACAGAATGCTATTATCGACACAATTAAACGTGAAACCTGTTTATATTTGCTGTTAATAACATCTAGTATACATCAACAGAAATTCTCTATAGATTACCTTATTATAATGGTTTTATTACTTAGCCGAGTTTCCCCTCTGGCATTTGGCGGAGCAGTACAGTATGTAGTTCCCATGACTATTCTTAGTTTATTTGTCCACCTTCATGGAATTGGCGTTGGTGAAGGGAATATTGAGATGAAATCCTTCCTTCTCTGTATACTTTCATCAGTTAAATTTTCTCATAAACAACCGGAGGTAATCCTAACTTTTGTACCATATAACCTGTCAATTATTGCCTTACTCATCGCCAGTCAAAGGTTTTCATGTGACAGGTAATCAGTTGATCTGTACGATTGTCATATCTGATAATGTAACCATTTACGGTGGTCGTACTAAGTTGGTTTGTTTCTTTTGTTTTGAAAAATATTTGGTTTCTATTTGTATTAAATTTAATCAAATGTTTCTTTTTAGGCAGTATTGAATCAAGACGTAGCGTGGCTGGATGAACACTCCGTCGGAAGCCTGATAGATAAATTAACTGAACACACAACTAGCATACATCTTGGCATTGGGGAGAAGTTAAGCGAATTTATTCAGAATATCTCTAGTTTCTTTATTGGCTTCTTTATCGCATTCGCGTATGGTTGGAAGCTTAGTTTGGTTGCTTGCTCATCGCTGCCATTAGTTCTTATTGGTTTTTCTTTATTCGGTACTACTGTGAGACGCTTCACTCTCATGGAACAGGATGCATACTCAAAGTCTAGTACAATTACTGAGGAAGTTTTGAGCGCTATCCGAACAGTAATTACTTTCTCCGGGGAGAGGAAAGAAGTATTACGTTATAGCAGTAATCTGGATATGGCTGCCGCTTGTGGTGTAAAACAGGCAGGTTGGCTTGGATTTGGTAAGACCGGTTTTTCCCATATTACTTCAGAATACATCTGATTATACAATCTGTTTCGTTATATAAGATAAAGTGGTTGTTGGTATAGATATTTTGAAATTACTCATACCTATTAAATAAGAATAATATATTTGTAAAATCTCAGCGAATGAATTTGTAGTAAATCCAACGTTTCGCCTGGCAATCTGGTCCAAGCTCTTTCCTTGAAAAACGTTGGATTTACAACAAATTCATTCGCTGAGATTTTACAAATATATTATTCCTATTTAATGTCTTACATCAACTCGGCGCTCAAATACTGTGAAACTATTCGCTCTAATTTAGACGAGAGTTCTTATAAACTCATACCTATGTCTGAATATCTGGGTTAAGAGAATCAAATGTAGTTTTACTTGTCATAGTTGAACTTCAAACACATATGGTTCCACAGCCTTGGCTTCATTTGCTTTGTTACAGCCTTTCTTAAAGCAATAATTAAACTGTTAATAATTGGATTTTCTCAGTATGAGTAGTAAATTATAAAGAAAACAAAGTGATGGTTATGTGTTTTCTTTTGCATCAATTTTATGTAAAAACAATTATTCACCCATATAGTCTAATACTTTTCTCCGGAGGATAGTTCAGCATTTCTTGATGTATCTCTTGGCTATAGGTCAGTGATTATAAGAAATGCGGTGTAGAAAAAGTAGATTGAATTTTAACCAAGTAAGTTAATACTTTTTCAACGATTAATCGCATTAATGGTAGGAATTTATTTCGGCCACTACAATATACGATTCTATGTTCTAAGCTCGTAAATTCACCTACTAGGGCTTACGATTTGTCATTCTCACTAATATTAATTGATTGCTTGTATGGTAGATGTTATTTCAGTTTGATAGTTGCTTTCATATAGGACCTCTATCTACTGGACCACTACTGAAAACAAAGATTTCTGAATAGTTGTCAACCCGCGACAAAGACTCATCAAAATGAATTAATCTCTACTAACAAATTAATCAAATAGTAATCGCCTGCTCATTAGTAACTGACTTTTAGATAGATTTCCTAATTTACCGTGAATACTTGTGACCAGGGAATTAGATCATTTGGTAGTGTAGTAGTTACCAACCAACAAAAATATGTATTTCAATAAAGATACCTATCTTTTGTTATTTTATATTTAGTCTTGGAGGCATGATTTAGTCATATAATACTTGTATTTCGACTACCAAGCCCCATTCAACGTTAACTATATACTCTGCCAATTTCCTTTTAAAATTTATCTTAGAATTTCATTTGAACACAAACCTTGGTACAAGAAGGAACCAAAATATATGTACCCCACCAAATAAAAATGAGGTTGTGAAGAGGTAGAGAATGTAAGTGCATACTATAAAAAGGAACAACAATCAACAGAGATTAGCGTGTGAGAGTAAAATAATAATAATACTGGTAATAATAATGAACGAAGCAGCTCGATTAAGACAAATATAACCGGAAAAAAAAGTTTTACAGTTTAAACAGTTCCTTTCATTTAGATGTAGTAAAAGAAAGTTACATCAGGATCCCCACCGGCTTCTATTCTGAGACATGTCTGATAACGCCCCAAGCCACTGTGTTCACTATCTCTAGGACCCCAACCAGGAAGTCTTAAAGCATCGATAGATGCCATCCCTGCACAAATGTCTTCCATACCACGACACTGTGTCATACACTGAACACTTCTCTCTTTACAACTAGTTCTAGCATCGTCAAACAATGCACAATATGCAATTCGCTGAGACGACATTCGTATTACGTGTATAAGCCACAGAAGTCGTTATTTTAAAATGATAACTGACTGAATTATCGTTGCTGTAACCGAACACATGTTGTCAAGTCTCCTTGTGTTACTGACATAATGCCTCCACTAAATGTCGGCAATCCTTCGGAAACAACGATGATCAAACACAAAGAATCGTCTAACATCCTCAATTCGGAGTGTCCAGGTTTCACAGGCATAGAGCAAAACTGCTCTCACCAACGCGTTGTAGATTTGACATCTTACAGCCAGACTGACATCAGGAACACGCCAAAGATGGTCCAGATTGGCATAAGCCATTCTAGCTCTCATCACTTACACCATCGCCAGCATTTACGCGGCTACCCATATACGCGAAATTCTCGACCACTATCTGCTCACTACCCAGGGTGAGTGCAAGTTTAGGGTCTTACCAGACTT